ATGCTCCTGCTCCTCCAGCTCCTGTCCGCTGAGTGGAAAAACCAACCCATTTCACTCAATAATTCCTGAGCACTAATGTCCTCCTCTATTAGTAGAATAGTTATTTGTGAGCCACCAGGAGTTAACTTACTCTATTATTAGTGTTAATTGTGTGCTTAAGTGAATATTAATTAAATATTGGATCGCCAGGCACTAATTACACCCTCTCTAGGTGTATGAAATTAAACTATGAATTCTTATACTGTACCCGCGCTCCAATATTATCAACCTTTTGTGATTAACCTTTTTTATGTTGTGTGAATTTCTTAATATACCACCTATAATCCAATCATTACTTACTTCTATGGTGCTTAAATATTACAATTAACATAAATTAATTTATAAATATGAATTAGAAAATTATATGTGATTATAACAAATATTAATAAAAAATTAATGAAAAATTGGAATGTCAATTCTATGTGAATAAAATAATAACAAATTAATAAAACATAAAAAAAAAAAAAAAAAAAAAAAAAAAAAAGGGAAATGTCAATTATTTTCTTTGAATTTGAGATGGTGTTGTTATTCAATTTAGTTAATGTGATAAGTCTGTGTTGGCAGCTTGAACCTTCCCTCGTCTCCTCTCTTTGTGCTTTCTTCTCACTGGGCTGCTTTGTTTATTTATCCTCCATATACGGAACATTGAGAAGGGAAAAGAAACATAGTGTCTTATCCGGGATATAAGTGATTTATTGCTCTTTGATCTCCCACTCACATTGTGTAAATGTAAATAATGCTTTGAACATACAATGTAACAAGATCCTGCTTCAGACAGCCTGGCTGATGTGTTTGCTTGCAGTAAATATACTCGCCGTTCCTCTGTGGATGCGTGATAACGTCACCGCCCCTCCCCTACGCGTTACGCTACAGGGACTCGTAGCTTCCTCTGGGGGATGTGGATTTCCACATCCCCCAGTATTTGGAAGCTACGAGTCCCTGTAGCGTAACGCGTAGGGGAGGGGCGGTGACGTTATCACGCATCCACAGAGGAACGGCGAGTATATTTACTGCAAGCAAACACATCAGCCAGGCTGTCTGAAGCAGGATCTTGTTACATTGTATTCAAAGCGTTATTTACATTTACACAATGTGAGTGGGAGATCAAAGAGCAATAAATCACTTATATCCCGGATAAGACACTATGTTTCTTTTCCCTTCTCTGCATGTTCCGTATATGGAGGAATAAACAAAGCAGCCAGTGAAGAAAGCACAAAGAGAGGAGACGAGGGAGAGGTTCAAGCTGCCAACACAGACTTATCACATTAACTAAATTGAATAACAACACCATCTCAAATTCAAAGAAAATAATTGACATTTCCCTTTTTTTTTTTTTTTTTTTTTTTTTTTTTTTTTTTATGTTTTTATTAATTTGTTATTATTTTATTCACATAGAATGTGACATTCCAATTTTTCATTAACAATTTTTTATTAATATTTGTTATAATCACATATAATTTTCTAATTCATATTTATAAATTAATTTTTTGTTAATTGTACCCAATTTAAGCACCATAGAAGTAAGTAATGATTGGATTATAGGTGGTATATTAAGAAAATTCACACAACCAAAAAAGGGTTAATCACAAAAGGTTGATAATATTGGAGCGCGGGTACAGTATATAAGAATTCATAGTTTAATGTCCCTCCTCTACCTCCTCCTCTTCTTCCTGTCCTGCCCCCACAGGGGTCATGTGGCGTTGAGATCTGTGCGCCACGTTCTACCGCACCCTGACCAGCCATTGTTAACAGCATTTGTTCCAGGACGTGCAACAGAGGAATGACGTCGTCATTCATCCATAGTCCTGCCGACTCACCGAATAGCGTGGCCTCCTCAAAGGGCTGAGCAAGCGCAGGTGTCACGCCATGAGCTGCCAATGGCTGACATCTAAGTTACACAGGGAGTACCTTTATCCGCTTTTAACATCAGGAAATCTGTGATGGCCTTTCGCTGTTCGTAAAAAGCGGTCTAACATATGTAGGGTTGAATTCCACCTTGTTGCAACGTCACAGCATGAGGAGTCGGTACGGGGGCCCATGGCAGATTACGGGCCTGGCAGCAGCAATGGGAGGCCCGTAATCTGCCAGCACCCTATGACAAAAAATGTAACACACCAGCAGTGTGAGGAGATCTGAAAGTGGCACATGGCAGAGTGTGGCGATGGAGACAGCAGCAATGGGAGGCCGTACAGGGACCCATGAGAGACTCTGGACCTGGCAGCAGCATGAGGAGGCGGTATAGGGGCCCATGGCAGATTAGGGGCCTGGCAGCAGCTATGGGGGCCCGTAAATCTGCCAGCACACTATGACAAAAAAATGGAACACACCAGCAGTGTGAGGAGACCTGGAAAGTGGCACATGGCAGAGTAGTGGGCGATGGAGACAGCAGCAATGGGAGGCCGTACAGGGACCCATGAGAGACTCTGGACTTGGCAGCAGCATGAGGAGGTGGTATAGGGGCCCATGGCAGATTAGGGGCCTGGCAGCAGCTATGGGAGGCCCGTAATCTGCCAGCACCCTATGACAAAAAATGGAACACACCAGCAGTGTGAGGAGATCTGAAAGTGGCACATGGCAGAGTGTGGCGATGGAGACAGCAGCAATGGGAGGCCCATACAGGGACCCATGAGAGACTCTGGACCTGGCGCAGCAGCATGAGGAGGCGGTATAGGGGCCCATGGCAGATTAGGGGCCTGGCAGCAGCTATGGGAGGCCCGTAATCTGCCAGCACCCTATGACAAAAAATGGAACACACCAGCAGTGTGAGGAGACCTGAAAGAGGCACATGGCATGAGACACTGTGGACCTGGCAGCAGCATGAGGAGGCGCGGTACAGGGGCCCATGGCAGATTAGGGGCCTGGCAGCAGCTATGGGAGGCCCGTAATCTGCCAGCACCCTATGAAAAAATGGAACACACCAGCAGTGTGAGGAGACCTGAAAGTGGCACATGGCAGAGTGTGGCGATGGAGACAGCAGCAATGGGAGGCCGTACAGGGACCCATGAGAGACTCTGGACCTGGCAGCAGCATGAGGAGGCGGTACAGGGGCCCATGGCAGATTAGGGGCCTGGCAGCAGCTATGGGAGGCCCGTAATCTGCCAGCACCCTATGACAAAAAATGGAACACACCAGCAGTGTGAGGAGACCTGAAAGTGGCACATGGCAGAGTGTGGCGATGGAGACAGCAGCAATGGGAGGCCGTACAGGGACCCATGAGAGACTCTGGACCTGGCAGCAGCATGAGGAGGCGGTATAGGGGCCCATGGCAGATTAGGGGCCTGGCAGCAGCTATGGGAGGCCCGTAATCTGCCAGCACCCTATGACAAAAAATTGAACACACCAGCAGTGTGAGGAGACCTGAAAGTGGCACATGGCATGAGACACTGTGGACCCGGGCAGCAGCAGCATGAGGAGGCGGTACAGGGGCCATGGCAGATTAGGGGGCCTGGCAGCAGCTATGGGAGGCCCGTAATCTGCCAGCACCCTATGTCAAAAAATTGAACACACCAACAGTGTGAGGAGACCTGAAAGTGGCACATGGCATGAGACACTGTGGACCATGGGCAGCAGCATGAGGAGGCGGTACAGGGGCCCATGGCAGATTAGGGGCCTGGCAGCAGCAATGGGAGGCCCGTAATCTGCCAGCACCCTATGACAAAAAATGGAACACACCAGCAGTGTGAGGAGACCTGAAAGTGGCACATGGCAGAGTGTGGCGATGGAGACAGCAGCAATGGGAGGCCGTACAGGGACCCATGAGAGACTCTGGACCTGGCAGCAGCATGATGAGGAGGCGGTATAGGGGCCCATGGCAGATTAGGGGCCTGGCAGCAGCTATGGGAGGCCCGTAATCTGCCAGCACCCTATGTCAAAAAAATTGAACACACCAGCAGTGTGAGGAGACCTGAAAGTGGCACATGGCATGAGACACTGTGGACCTGGCAGCAGCATGAGGAGGCGGTACAGGGGCCCATGGCCCTATGATTAGGGGCCTGGCAGCAGCTATGGGAGGCCCGTAATCTGCCAGCACCCTATGTCAAAAAATTGAACACACCAACAGTGTGAGGAGACCTGAAAGTGGCACATGGCATGAGACACTGTGGACCTGGCAGCAGCATGAGGAGGCGGTTATACAGGGGCCCATGGCAGATTAGGGGCCTGGCAGCAGCTATGGGAGGCCCGTAATCTGCCAGCACCCTATGACAAAAAATTGGAACACACCAGCAGTGTGTGAGGAGACCTGAAAGTGGCACATGGCAGAGTGTGGCGATGGAGACAGCAGCAATGGGAGGCCGTACAGGGACCCATGAGAGACTCTGGACCTGGCAGCAGCATGAGGAGGCGGTACAGGGGCCCATGGCAGATTAGGGGCCTGGCAGCAGCTATGGGAGGCCCGTAATCTGCCAGCACCCTATGACAAAAAATTGAACACACCAGCAGTGTGAGGAGACCTGAAAGTGGCACATGGCAGAGCATGAGACAGCTGTGGACCTGGACAGCAGCATGAGGAGGCGGTACAGGGTCCATGGCAGATTTGGGGCCTGGCAGCAGCTATGGGAGGCCCGTAATCTGCCAGCACTCTATGACAAAAAATGGAACACCCAGCAGTGTGAGGAGACTGAAAGTGGCACATGGCAGAGTGTGGCGATGGAGACAGCAGCAATGGGAGGCCGTACAGGGACCCATGAGAGACTCTGGACTTGGCAGCAGCATGAGGAGGCGGTATAGGGGCCCATGGCAGATTAGGGGCCTGGCAGCAGCTATGGGAGGCCCGTAATCTGCCAGCACCCTTTGACAAAAAATGGAACACACCAGCAGTGTGAGGAGACCTGAAAGTGGCACATGGCATGAGACACTGTGGGACCTGGCAGCAGCATGAGGAGGCGGTACAGGGGCCCCCATGGCAGATTAGGGGCCTGGCAGCAGCTATGGGAGGCCCGTAATCTGCCAGCACCCTATGACAAAAAATGGAACACACCAGCAGTGTGAGGAGACCTGAAAGTGGCACATGGCAGAGTGTGGCGATGGAGACAGCAGCAATGGGAGGCCGTACAGGGACCCATGAGACACTCTGGACCTGGCAGCAGCATGAGGAGGCGGTACAGGGGCCCATGGCAGATTAGGGGCCTGGCAGCAGCTATGGGAGGCCCGTAATCTGCCAGCACCCTATGACAAAAAATGGAACACACCAGCAGTGTGAGGAGACCTGAAAGTGGCACATGTTTGGGGCATGATTCATGGCGGATTTAGTCAGTTGTGTCAGGAACTGGTGGTTTGAAATCCAGACTAATCTACGCCTGATTCATTTTCACAAACGTGAGTCTCTCCACACTTTGGGTGGACAGTCGTCTCCTCCGCGGAGTTACAATACCTCCTGCCGCACTAAACACGCGCTCCGATGCCACGCTACTGGCCGGGCATGACAGCCTTTCAAGGGCAAATTCAGCTAGTTGGGGCCAAAGGTCAAGTTTCGTTGCCCAGTAGTCAAGGGGATTGTCTACCTCGTTGGCAGGGTGCTGTCCAAGTAGGCCCAAGCCTGTTGTTTGAGGTCCTGCTCCAGGTCCACCTGATGCTGCTGCTGCTGCTGCGGCTGGTTAGTAGTTTCCTCACTGCGCTGGTGAAGAAAGCTACTCATCATCGACTGCAGACTGAGGCAGCCGCTGATGGTGGAGCTGCCACTGCTCCTACCACCCCACCCCTCCCCTGCTGCCATGGCAGCGGAACGCGAGCGCACAGGGCCCACAGTGTCTGAGGATGGACGTTGGCGCAGAAAGGCAAAGACAACTGACTACATAGGTGGTTTTTATAGTACGTTATTTTGGCCTCCCTCTCAGCAGGTGTGAAAAAGGCCACCATTTTTGAACGGTAGCGAGGGTCCAACAAGGTGGACAGCCAAAAGTCATCCCTCTGTCTGATGGTTATTATTCGGCTGTCGCTACGCAAGCAACCGAGCATGCTATGGGCCATTTGTGCCAAGGAATGCGAGGGACTCCCTGCCTCCATCTCCACAGCATACTGCCACGGTGCGTCTGGGTCCTCTGTCTCCTCCTCCTCCTCCTCTACCAGATGCTCCTGCTCCTCCACTCCTGTCCGCTGAGTGGAAAAAAACCACCCATTTCACTCAATAATTCCTGAGCACAAATGTCCTCCTCTACCTCCTCCTCTTCTTCCTGTCCTGCCCCCACAGGGGTCATGTGGCGTTGAGATCTGTGCGCCACGTCTACCGCACCCTGACCAGCCATTGTTAACAGCATTTGTTCCAGGACGTGCAACAGAGGAATGACGTCGTTCATCCCATAGTCCTGCCGACTCACGAATAGCGTGGCCTCCTCAAAGGGCCTGAGCAAGCGGCAGGTGTCACGCATGAGCTGCCAATGGCTGACATCGAAGTTACACAGGGGGGAGTACCTTTATCCGCTTGTAACATCAGGAAATCTGTGATGGCCTTTCGCTGTTCGTAAAGGCGGGGGTCTAACATGTGTAGGGTTGAATTCCACCTTGTTGCAACGTCGCAGATCAGGCGATGCTGTGGAATTCCGTTCTGTCGCTGCAGCTCAAGGAGGGTGTGCTTTGCGGTGTAGGAATGGCTGAAATGCATGCAAAGTTTACGTGACATTTTAAGGATGTCTTGCAGTGGGATGGTGGATTTTAGGAACCGCTTGACAACCAGATTGAACACGTGAGCCATGCATGGCGCATGGCACAAACCTTCCTTGACGCAGAGCAGACACCATGTTCTTTCTGTTGTCGGTCAACATGGTTCCGATTTTCAGTTTGCGCGGAGACAGCCATCTGTCGATTTCTCTGTTCATTACACTGAGAAGTTCCTCCCCTGTGTGACTACGTTCCATGGACCTGGCAGCAGCATGAGGAGGCGGTACAGGGGCCCATGGCAGATTACGGGCCTGGCAGCAGCTATGGGAGGCCCGTAATCTTGCCAGCACCCTATGACAAAAAATGGAACACACCAGCAGTGTGTGTGAGGAGACCTGAAAGTGGCACATGGCAGAGTGTGGCGATGGAGACAGCAGCAATGGGTAGGCCATACAGGGACCCATGAGAGACAGCTGGGACTGGCAGCAGCATGAGGAGGCGGTACAGGGGCCCATGGCAGATTAGGGGCCTGGCAGCAGCTATGGGAGGCCCGTAATCTGCCAGCACCCTATGACAAAAAAAAATTGAACACACCAGCAGTGTGAGGAGACCTGAAAGTGGCACATGGCATGAGACACTGTGGACTCCCGCTGGCAGCAGCATGAGGAGGCGTGTACAGGGGCCCATGGCAGATTAGGGGCCTGGCAGCAGCTATGGGAGGCCCGTAATCTGCAGCACCCTATGACAAAAATGGAACACACCAGCAGTG